TGGGCCAGATATTTCTCCATCCCTACCTGCAAAAGAGCTGGAGGAGCTGGCTACTGATCCAGGCCAAGCACAGGGGAATGTGTGAGGTCTGGGGTCACTGAGACCTGTCTGCATATGTGTGTGTGTGTGTGTGTGTGTGTGTGTCCAAAGATTGATGAGGGCATCCAGGGCCAGCTGCCAGGTGGGCAGGGTGTCCATGCCTGGTCACAGGAGGGGTGCATAGCCTCATGTGGGCGTGTGTGTGTGTTTGTCTCTGCACATGAGGGGGGCTGGAGCCCCACTGGTAGGTGCTGGATAGATTGGATGTTCAAGCACAGTTCCTGCCCACATGGTGGGTCTGCATGTATTCCTAACACAAAATCCTTCGTGTGGATCAGACATGGAGGGGGACAGAACTAAAACTTTTGTGCTGCTTGTGCAAGTGCTGTGTTTTCTAGGTGTGCTGGTTTTGACTGGGACAGAGCTGGTATTTTCAGTGCAGCTGGCGCAGGACTGTGTTTTGGATTTGTGTTGAAAAGAGTGTTGAAAACACAGGGATGTTTTTGTTGTGCCTGAGCAGCACTTACCCAGGTCAAGGCCTTCTGTGTTCCTCATTGTACCCTGGCAGGCAGGAGCCCGGGATGCACAAGGAGCGGGGAGGGGTCAGCTGAGCATTCCAGTGTAGCTGGTGCATTCCAAACCATATGGCATCATGGTCGGCATGGGGAGCGGGGGGAAGAAGGAGGAAGGGAGGGATGCTCAGAGTGATGGAGTTTGTCTCCTCAAGCCACCATCAGGTGTGATGGAGCCTGGCTTTCCTGGACGTGACTGGACACCCAGCAGGTAGGAGTGAGTGAGCACTGAGCTCCAGCTGGGCTTAAAACACCACACTGGGTCGTGCTGAGTGGCCACATGTATACAGGGTTTATGTGTGTGCCAGTTTGAAATTCATACTCAACCTGCCCACAGACTGTTTTTACCTGGTGGGCTGCTGAATTCAGGGACCCCCAACCCCACATGTCCAGATCTCTGCTTTACTGAAAGCAATGGGAATAAATAAGTGGCCTAAAGTCTGATACTAACTGAGTTTTAGTTTTGGGGTTTCTAAATGAAGGTTTTTTCTTACACAGGGAAGGCTTACAGACACATAGGGTCCACTCATTCTCTGCTGGTGGCTGCTCAAGGACCTGCACAGGGGAAAGCAATTTCTGACTGCTGCACAGCCACCAGGCAAAAATTAGAGAAACAAACTATGGAGAGAGAAACTTTTAGCTGCCATGAGTGTAGAGGCTGCAGCTTCTCCCATTAAATTTAACTAATGCAAGGCCATGACTCCAGGATGGCCGTGCCTGTGGGTCTCATTCTCTCGTGTGGAAAGGGATTGCACAGCTTCCAGCTCAGGACCATGAGATACATGACCTGCGACTGCAGGTCCCTCCCACTATCCAATTACCAGGAATTTTCCAGTAAGTGAGACCCCATAAAGAGGTATCAGTGATAAAAGCCAACCTGAGAAAAGAACCCTCTCAGCATCAGCACTGAGCACACTAATAAATCATTTAGCCCAGCACCTCCTAAATCCCAGCCTCAAAGCAGCAATATTTACACAAGTTTCTCCAGCCCATGCACAGCTGGTCTCTGAGTGCTCATGTCAGAGAGCTCTCAGCATGAACAAGAGGTGCCCTGGGTGGGGAAGCAGCTCAGACTTTCCACAGGGACAATTTGCATGGTTAGCTTTGGGTACTAAACAGTGCAAAATAAAGCAGAGAGTATTTCCTACAAGTCTGGGGATTGTGACTTAATTCTAAACAAGCATCTGTTTGCTCCAAGCATCAAAGCCATGAATAAGCACAGTAAAATCCTTCTTCTAAGAGTGATGGAAAGCTTTCAAACCCTTTAAAATCCCTGAGACTCTTTAATATTCCCTTTCAGACTCCTGTCTTGTGATATCAAGTAGAAATGTCACCTCAGCACCTGCTAGGACAACAGGCTGGGTCGGCTGTGACACTGTTTGGAACACCTGAGCCACCACCCAGCTGAGAGGACAGGAGATTGTACAGGTGATGCCTCATGTCCTCCCACCAGGACAGCAAACAGCACAGTGGAAGCAGGTCAGTCTTATCTCCTTGTCTGCCTTTTGGGACAAGTGGGACAGTTTCTCTCCTGCAAACATTGCTCAGTGTGAGTAGTTGGTCCACACTCTCACTTTCCTGCAAAAACATAACCTTTTTAAGCCATGCATTAATACAGGCTGTCCTAGGAGATGCATCATCAAAGGAGATGCACACACAGCTGGGGCTGTGACATTGTCCTGTGCTGGAGTCTTCCACTGCAGCCCTAGGTTAAAAAAAATAAAATAATAGAAGCATTAATTCCTGATTTCTAATATTTTGCATAAAAGAGGCAATAGCAAACACAGAAAAAAACCCCAAATCTAACCAACCAATCAAAAAAAAAAAAAAAAACCCTCACCCAAAACCCACAGGAAAAGAACCCAAACCAAACCAACAACAAAAAGGAAGCAATAAACATGTCAGTTCCATAGGGCTGTTTTGGAGGTGTCCTGGAGTCAAGGTTGGGTTTACCTGCTGGTGTTTGCAAGTTGGGCATACAGCACCATTTGGCCTCCTCTTTTTCTCTATATTGTCATCTCCTGCTTGCTGCTGTTGGAGCTGTGCTTCTGCAGGTGCTTGGACAGGCAGAACGCTCACTCAGAGTCCTGCCTGCAGGATGGGGACAGGCATCCCTCTGTCCCATGCAGGAATGACCATGCTGCAACAAAGCAGGAACATCTTCTGCCTCCAGCAGCTGTGCCAGCAGGAGTGTGGAGTACATCTCTACATGATAGCCCCTCAGCAGAGACCACTTTCCAGCCCCCACTGACATTTTCAGCTCCTAGATGGGTGTGAGTTAGGATTTAATTCTACCCAACAGCCTCATGATAAGAAAAAAAATTAAAACTTGGAGGAGCATAGTAATTTAAAAGTCATAACACAGAAACTGTGGACAATGCACCAGCTGCATGGGGTAACATGGAGCCCAGAACAACATTGCCAGGGCCCAAGACCACCATGCAATTTTCCTTGCAGGTCTTTTGTCTTTCTCTGCAGCACATTGCACACCTCAGGGTGTCCCCCTTTTTTACAACAGACCCATCTCCCTGGCTTGTTCCTGTATGCCAAGCTCCTCTCTAATGCCAGAGCATTTCTAGAGTACCTGAACTCTCTTCCCTGAGACTGGGAAGGAGAAATTCCTGTGGTCCCTCATCTCTTCCCGTGCTTAGATAAGCAGTTTTCTCTTAGTTTAATAACTTGGGATAGCAGAGCAGATATGAACATGGGCTCAGGGAGTCTCAAGAGACAGGGGAGACACCCTTCTCCATCCTCCTGTGCCACTTGGGGAAAGAGGGAGATAAATTGGGAGTGAAGCTAAGCCCAGGAAGAAGGGAGAGATGGGAGGAAGGTGTTCTAAGATTTGGATTTTATTTCTCATTACCCTACTCTGATTTGATTAGTAATAAATTAATTTCCTGGAGTCAAGTCTATTTTGTCTGTGATAGCAGTTGGTGCATGATCTCTCTGTCCTTATTTTGACCCATGAGCTTTTCTATATATTTTGTTACTTTTTATCTCCCCCAACCAGTTGAGGGTGTTGGGGCATCTTTGATGAACCCCTAGCATCCAACCAGGGTCAAAACACCACAGCCTGTGACTGTGCATGCTGTGAGCAAAGGAACAAGGATCTGTCTGGCATCCACCCAATATTCAGTCTGCTCCCTCAGCAGGTAAATACTTCTGGGGCAGGGATTTCTAAAATGTGTGCTGGGGAGATGCACAGTGAATCACCCAGGTCAAAGTAAGCAGTCAATAGAGTGACCCCAATGCAAAATGGTCTGGCACAATCTGTTCCACACCAGCACACTGAGCACCCATTCATGCTGCTGGAACAGTCTTCCTCACTCAGAGACAGACCCCAACAAATCTCCCCTTCCACCTGGCTGGAAATTTTAAGAATGGAAGGCAGCAGTAGGAAGAACACCTCCACTAAACCACTGCTGTGCCTTGAAGAAAGAGTCTAGAAAAAGCACAAAGTGTAGCAAAAGCGTAGGTAAAGTGTAGCAAGACATTCTTCCTGCAGCACAGCATCCCAACTTCCTGAAGTTCAGAGGTTTCTTGCACCAGAAGTTATTCACTGGACCATCATGTGAATACACAGCTTGCTCTCACCCTCCATGGAGGAGGGAGGCTTGTTCCCATGTGAAATAAGCAGATACCTCAGTGGAAGTGAACAAAATGTCTCCAAGGGACGTTGCCACCTCATTTGCCCCAACACCACGGCTCATCAGTATCCTGCCATCCTGCCCAATGCTGGTGCAGCTTGGAGTGAGCTAAAGCTGCGAGTCAATAGCAGGATCCCTGTGCTGTGCATTAAAGGAGATATTTCCATATTCTCCTTTCAGATTGTGTTGAGATTGCCTCTGTGCTGTGGGCCTGACTTGGTAATGCTGGCTCACAGCAGGAAAAACCCAAGTGTCAGGTGATGTGGAATCCCTTCCAGGTCTCACCTTAGGTCCCTCAAGCAGAGGAATGAGCTGTAGTCCAGCAACAGCTTGAAGCCAAGGAGAGGGAGCAGGCCAGCCAGCAGAGGCTGACAGTATCACAGTGACTTGTGACCCACCTGGAGGTCCCAGGAGGAGCTCAGGAGGTGCAATGTTCAGTTGCAGAGAGGGACTTTTCTCCCTGACAGCCAGAATGCCAGCTTGGCGCACTGCTGCTTTACACCAGCTGAGCTGATGTTACAGTATAGACTGTTTCCTAAAAACCCTCAGGGAAAGCAATTTCCTGACATTATGCTGAGGAAGAAGAGGATGCAGTCCTCAGAGAAGCCCTGCTGGAAGCTGAAATCTGTCCACCAGACTTTACCAGCTGGATTAGGACAGGCAGGGGAAGAAGAGGGTTTCCTACAGCCCTTCATCTCCTCGTTTTGGCACACGCATGGCTCCAGACACAGGCTTGGATCTGTGAAGGCTAAAATTTGGTTTTAATCACATCTCTAAGAGAATATGACAAAAAGCTGTTAGCATATTTGTTTGCAGTATGAATAACTAATGGAGCAAATACCAACCAAAACTGAAACTGTTGTAATTAACCACAGTGTAACAGAGATTTCAGTTCATCATCACAGTACTTTTAAATTAGGGAGTTATCTGCACATAAATTGTAAGTATTATTTAGAAAAGGATTAATCTTAGAACAACTTGATTTGCTCTAGGAACACATTCTGGAAGTCAAATTTCTCTTTATTTACAGACAACCAAAATGAAAATATTATGTCTATTTTCATGTGACAGGCTTAGAAAACAAAAACAGTCACAGGAAAAGCATTTGTGATGGAAAGTTACTGTCCTCTCACTGGGACTTCTCAGACTGTGAGAAAAGACAGAAATGGGAGGGAAGGAATATATATATATGTGTGTATGTGTGTGTGTATATATAGATGTATATATTTATCAATATATATTTAGTGCATGTTTATTTATGTATATTTATGTAGAGAAGAAAGAATCACAATGTTGGGAGAAACCAACATGAGTACTTTTAGTTGACATGAGAATAAATAATATTGTTTCTTAGGCTGGAAGGGAGCAATGTGTGCACACAAATGCATGCATCCCTGGTGGGAACTGGAGCCTGAACTATTGTAGTTTTGATGATGGCACAAATGGAAGACAACTAAATCCAGGTTCCAGTTGCTGCCATAACTCATGTCCTGAAGGCTGGGTATGGAGAAGCATGAGGGGGGAGCTGCAGTTCTTCCCCAGGTATCCCCTACAAAACCTTCAGAGGAGATATGTGTTCTATAAAGACCTTATACACAGCACTCTGTGAATGTGGAAAGTGACTGTAGGGACAATTAGCATACTTGTCTCCTTTCCCTGTAATAAGGAACATCTCTAAGAGAGATACACAGAGAGAGGGGGAACAGAGAGAGAACAAGCAGCTATCTCACTCAAACTCCTTTTTTCTGCTGCACCCTGTATTTCCCTTGCTTTGATTAAGCCAGTCCCAACAAACACCAGCCCTGACCTCGCTTCTCCCTCCATCTGCCCCAGGGGCTCAGCCCCTCTGTGAGGACAGACTGGGAAAGAGAGAGGCAAAGAAAATCAGCATGTCAAAACATCAGCCAGTGCTTTTATAACTGAAAAGGCAGAGGCATTGGATGAGCCCCTGCGAGGCCAGGGGGATGCTCGAGCCCACGCCTGTGCACAGACACGGTGCCACCTGCGCGGGTGGGCGGGCAGCGAGGCAAACCTCACGTGCAGCAATGCTGCCTGACTTGTGGAGAACAAAACCCTCCACCAACCTTTCCAGAAAAGAAAACAAAAGCCTTGAACAAACCATGCCCGGGCCATTTCAGCCAGCAACAAAGCTAACAAGCAAATCAAACAGAGAAATATCCCAGCAGACCTCAAATGGCTGAACAAACAAACGGAGAAACTCAGGTTCCAAAGAGCAGGGAAGCTGGGTTATGAAACAAGATTTTTGATACAAAAGGAAGCTTACAGCTATCGCTGGTGATTAGACATGGAAGAGAAAGGTCACTCTGGGTGCTAGACCACACTTCACACACGCATACACACAGAGGTTATTCAATCAATATTTGTCCTGGAATCACATGCGGCAGAAAAAATTTCAAGTGAATGGTCAGCAGAATTTAATGCTCGCATTCATTCATGTTGTGCTCTTGGATGAACTTGTGTTTTTATATCTAGTACAACCTAAGCTTTAGAATCCAGGAGGTTTTTAATCAAAATACAGGCAAGTCTTGGAATTAAACACTACATTAGTATATGCCTTTCAATTACATTTTCAGCAGGACAGGAACACCTCACTATTTTAGAAAGGGATCTGTGATAGGAGGGAGATTATTTGAATCTCCAAGTTCTGGGACTAAGAGGAAAAATAATTCAGCTCATGCTCCAGAAAGACAACACTGTCCACAGAATCTTACTCAAAGCAGAAGGGAGGGACTTATTCCTGCCACTACTGTGTTCTCCAGCCATGCTGCTGTGCTGGCATTAGAGGTTTTATTTAGGGTCACAGCAGTAACAGCAGGAAGATATAATCCTCTGATGAACAAGCAGCTCTTACCCCCTGCCTTTGTGAAAATGATGATCTCAGGTTGAGGATACTGTTGCCTTGAATCACCATATTTTTAATCCCCCTGTGAGTTTGTCACAACAGACTGTTTGCTTATATTCAGATCATAAGACCATGGCTCAATTTTCTCCCCTCAGCAAGAGTTAAAGGAAATTTGACCATAGGTACCCTAACCATGGACTTTAGAATTTGGGTACAAATAATGATGATTAAAGCACAAACAAAGCAAAACAAAGACAAAACCCAACCCTCTTGCCTAGTGACTTAATTACAAATTATTTGCGAGGCACAGCAGAACATCCAGTTTGGCTTATGATATACCTGATGGGTGGCATTCAGTCACAAAGGCAGGATGCCTCTAAGTCCTTCAAACAGTGTCACAGTGTGACTGAAGTGACATATTAGTGCTCTCTAAGGTTGCAGAGGGGTTCATTTCAGCCGCACAGGGGATAGCCTTGGAGAGGAGAGCCATAGTGAACATCACTGAGAGTAATAGCACAAAGGCAAACACGGGGTGGCTGCTTCAAGGCAGAAGCTTTTGGGGAGAAGTTTATTTTAATATCCTAGCTGAAAATTCACTGGAAAAACAGCTCCATTGGCGCTGGTCAGGAAGAATGAGAGGGCAAGGTTTATGTTCCTCTGGCAGTCGCTCCTGATGAAGCTCCCGTGCTCCAGGTCAGGACAAAGTGTTGCCATGTCCTGCATCCAGTGGCTGTGCTTTCTTCTTCATGCAGCTAACGCAAAAGAAATAAAGCCGTAAGTTGGTCACACTGCGTTAAGGATCGCTTTCATGGACTTCAAAGAGCCTGCTGAAATCACTGCTGTGCATGCAGTGCCAGAGGAGATGCTGCAGGAGGGCAGGGAGCAATCCCAGGTCCGGCACCACGTCCCGTTTCTCCTGCAAACCATTTTTCTTCACCTGGGCACCTCCTCCCCTCTACAAACACCCTCCGGGAAGCGCTGATGACCCACGCCGGTGCTGTCTGCGGAGAGGAAACTCTCTGTTCCAAGCGGGACACCCTGGCACAAATCAGGGTTTATCCCGCAAATGGGCTGGCAGGTTTCACACGGGGATTTGCTCTTTCTAGGTTTCACCCACACGAGGCTATTGAATTTATATTTTGTAACACTTGTAAGGGAACATTCAAGGCGGAGAGGGAAAACAAAGATTGTCCATGGATGTGATTTGTTACCCTTGGAGACTTGGCTCTCACTCTGTTGGGCATTGAGTACTACAGCGCCCTGTCTCACTGCTTCTCCAGCTCTGCATTGGGGCAAAACTGCACAGATTCAGGCACAATTAACATGATGTTTCATGGGAGTCACTCAATGCTCTGTAATGTATTTCCTTAAATGGCCACAGATTTGGCCTAATATTACTTGGCTTGATGCCCTTTAGAAATATCCACTTCAGAAAAAATTGCAAGCTGAATTTGAGCATTTGAAGTTTTGGGGCCAATTACCCTACATGCATTTGTCTTCCTCTTACCTTTAAGGGCCACCATACTCCTCCTTCCCTCTGCAATCCAGGAATATTGTACAGAGCAATAAAAACAACATATCCCTCACCTATCTCATTCTATTGGCAAGCAAATACTAAAGGCTCAAGACCAGCAGATGGCTGTTCAAACAAATTCAGGTCTTATCGAGCCTAGGAGGGATTGACACACCCATGTTTTCACTGTGTGGCTCTCCTGTGAGCTGTAAGGGCCATTCTGAAGACAGAAACTACAATTTGTTTTTTCCAAGGGCAGAGTATGCTTCATGATACAGTATCAAAAACTGCATTTGGTCCATGGAAATGCTGATTAGGTGTCAGGCAGTTTAAAATTCCTATGAATTCTTAAGAACAAAAACAGGGAGAGGTGACAACATGTCATTACAGTTTAGAGCAGCATGAAATTTAAACTAGGAAATTTCTTGACGTTAGAAAGAGGAAGTTCAACACTAATTGAAGTTCTGCCATTTTCAAACATTTCTCTGCAGCCTGTTCCTCTTGACATTTTTTTTTTCCTCACAAACATGCTTACACCTCCCAAAATACACAATCACTCAGGTGAAACTGTACAGGCAGGTGGCACCTCAAGGCATCTTGTGAGCTGCTGAGGTGGTCGAAAACACCAGTACCACAAAAATCAGTAAAGACAACTCCTGAAACGTGCTTCAACTTTCTCAGCACCAAGTGTCAATCCCACCACCACATGACCAAAAACCCCCTTGGATGTTTTCACTGGTGCCTTAAATATAAGGGTTTCTTAGACACCTTTAGGATTTTCTTCTTAGGGCCTCCTCACCACACTCTTCCCTAAGGGTGACAGGGGAAATGGCACTACAAATGGTCCCCACACCTGTAGCATGTTAATGTCTCATCCTGGCCCTCAGAACCTCAAGCAGGGTGCAAGAGAAGCTTTACTGGTTTAAGAGCAGCAGTGAGGCCAACCAGGGCTATATCAGCAGATATAGAACAAGATACAGATGAACCAGGACTAAGAACAGAGCCAGAGAAGGCATTTGAGCAGTGGTTAAGAGGGGTCTTGGAGTGGTAAGACCCTGACTGGAAGACACAGCTCTGACATCCTTGTTTTATTTCTTTGCATTGGAAAACTTGTATTTCTGCACTCCTAGTACTAGATGGAACATAATGAGACCACACTTGGCGATTCATTTACAGATCTACCCTTGATGCTCAGGACTTCTGACTCCTTTTAACTGTGTAATTCCCCCAACTTAAAATCTTGCCTTGAAATCTGAGTTCTAGTGTCCCTCTAACTTCCAGTCTGTTCATTCATTGCCTGCTGACAAAGAACTGCAGGTGAAGTTCTGTTTCCCTCATATCACTTACAGACATAAAAACTACTTTGCTGGCAATTGTAGCAGCTCGGAGTTAAAAGTAAAGCACAGATATCTTTGATCAGCTTCACATCAGGGAATGAACCCTCAGAATACAGATTCAAATAAGTATTCAGCTAACTGTAGCAATTGCTCTGGTCTCTGACCAACTGGGCAGATGAGTGTTTTTCTTTCCAGAATCCCTTCTTATCAAGGCATATCACAGAGCTGCAGAATATCCCAAGTTGGAAGGGACTCACAAGGATCACTGGAATACAGTTCCTGGCCCTGCACAGGACAAACCAAGAATGGAGTGCCATGTGCCTGAGAGCATTGTCCAAATGCTTCCTCAGTCAGGTCGGGTGCTGTGCCCACTTCCCTGGGGAGCTTGTTCCAACCTCTGGGTGAAGAACCTTTTTCTAATGTCTAACCTAAACCTCCCCTGACACAGCTTCATGCCACTGCCTTGGGTCCTGGTCACTAGAGAGAAGAGATCAGTACCTGCCCCTCCATTTTCCCCTGAGAGGAAGCTCTGCACTGCTAGGAGGTCTCCCCTCAGCATCTTCTTCTCCAGGCTGAACAAGCCAAATGACCTCATCCACTCCTCATATGGCTTCCCCTCTAGGTCCTTCCCCATGGAGCCTCCTTTGGATGCTCTCTCACAGCTTTGTAACTTCCATATGTTATGGTGCCCACACAGGGCTCGAGGTGAGGCTGTCCCAGGGCAGAGCAGAGCAGGACAATCCCTGCCCAGCTGGCAATGCTGTGCCTGAGGCACCCCAGGACATGACTGGCCCTCCCAGCTGCCTCATATCCAACTTGCCATCAACCAAGGCCTTCGTGTCCCTTTTCCACAGTGCTACTCTGCCGAGTTTCATTCCAGCCTGTACACAAATCCAGGGTTGCCCTGTTCCAGGTGCAAAATCCATCACTTGTTAAACTCCATACACTTGGGAATTGCCCAGTTTGATGTCCCCCCATCCACTTTGCACTCAAGCTGTGGGCAGTTACTCACCCATCCTATGATGTTTATAATATTCAAGAGAGCTTTGAAGTTCCAGAGTTTTCTTCTAGAAAACATTGTTCGCACTACAAGTCAACATTAAGACAACATAAAACACTTGATATATACAACACAAGACCTTGTTTTGCAGAATAGATCTGCATTTAGGGCAAACTTTAACCTAAAGCCAGAGTCCAGCGTGCTCCCTCCCACAGTACTTAAATCAAGCAGTAGCCCCATTAAATCCCCTATGGGATTACACCTGCAGTAAGGTGCTTTTCACTAGGATGCAGCTCTGAGAAGTAACACTGTTGGTTGCATGGAGGGTGCAAACAAGCTTTTACTACCCAGGATGTTCCTCGTTAGTCCTAATGATGGTTTGAATGTGACTGATTGCATCTTGCCTCGTTTGCAGAGTCGAAAAGAACTATTTCAATTAGTTTTGAAAATGAGTGAATTTAATTAGAATATTGCAGAATGCTCCGTATTTACAGAATATTTAATTTTGTGCTAAACACCAAGTTTTTAGCCAGGATTTTTGTACTCTTGCTATAAAACTCTTTTGCTTTGAAGGAGCTTGTTCCCATAGGAACACAGTCATTCTGGCCACATGGAGACAGCTCAAACATTTCCAAAATCATAATCCAGCAGAATAATTCTGCTATGTATTCCTTCTACTGCTCTGGTTTGAGTGTATGTATTATGTCCTATTATATCTAGTTGGAATTACATGCCCAGAGGGCAAAGTGAAAAAAAGAAATATATATACATATGCACAAACACACACACACACACACACACAGAGAACCAAAATCTTGTTAATTCTTTTTGCTGTGCACCTGAACTATTTTCTTTTTCTTCTCTTTTTCCTGGAGGACTGGCCCAAAAAACAGCCATCTCCAAAGACATTGCAGTAAATTAGAACTAAATTATTCACCTTTACTTTGGAAGAAGGAATCACTAGTGTGTCAAACATCCCAACAGAGACACCTGCAGATGCACCAAGTATGTACCAAATGCCACACCAGAAGAGCTGTACCCTCCTGCTACATTGCCATTTCTTTCTGTTTCCTTTCTGGCCCCTAAGTAAGTTTTATTTTGTCATAAGTTTTAGGATGGATCAGATAGATTCTTTCCAGGTCTTACTCTTCCCAGGTCTTATTTCTTCACAACCTAATGGATTTATCCTTTCCTTGGAGCTCAAGGAAGCATGAATTTTAGTCTTTCAAGTTGAATGCCATCTCTCTCTTCCCTTACTTTCTTCTACACTTGAATGCTTCATTTATTTAACAACCTCATTGATCTCAACATGAAAATTATTACACTGAGGTGCTATTCAGTTTGAGCAGAGAAAGCACAAGACTGGATCTGTCTTGCCAGGGGATTGCCTTTCCGTTTATGTATTTTCCATTTGTTGCTTACGAAACTTCCCTGCCAAAACACTCAAGAGCACAAATCTATCATGTTTAGACCAAATTTTAGCAGCTTTAATTGCTATCAGACTATGTAAAACATGTATGTGGCAAGCTGTGGTTATTGGGGGTAGGACTGAGCGGCTGTTTTCCCCTGCAATGGCAGTAAGACATCCCCATCCCACAGGCAGCTCCCTGGTCCGGCAGACCCCTCTGTGCACCCATGGCCATTCCTCTGGAGGAAAATTTGCTGCTCCTCTAGCAGCAACATGAAGGCAAGCGGGAGGATTTGGGAAGCGGACGCAGCAGCCCCACATGAGCACCACAGCCGTGGTCCAGGGCAGCAGGGAGCAGTGAAAGACCCCTGAAGGGCTGTGATGGGAAGCCTGTGACTTGACCTGGCTGTGATGAGAACTGCAGCCTTTGGCAGCTCACAGGTCTGGGGACAGAGAAGCTGCCCATCATCCTCCTCCCACCCAGCCTGCAGCTG